CCTGCCGGGGGGAGGCGCAGGGTCAGGCTGCTGAGGGGGGTGGCAGGCAGGGGTCCTGGGCGGGGGCCGGCGCAAGGCTACCTGCTCCTTATACTGCTCCGCCATCTTGCGCTCGTCCTCCACCTGCAGCAGGACCTCCTTCAGCTTCTTGTCCTTCTGCTTCAGCGACTTGGCCACCGCCTGCTTCTCTCTGCACCGTGGGGAGGGAGCAGACTCAGGCAGTGTCCTGCGTGCAGCGTCACGCCCTCCGCGGGCACTTTGCCCTAGGCCCTGAAGCAGCACCCGATGACAGGACTGACTGGCCACAGGAGGGAGGGGAGCCAGCGCTCACCTGGAGTCACCTCCCTTGGAGGAGGCGGTGGCCAGGCAGGAGGCCACGTGCGTATGCAACGTGCACTTGTATGAGGGGACCAGGCCAGGGCCGTGACTGGATTAGCAGGTACCTGGGGTGAAGGCTAGAGGGCTGGGGTTCCTTTTGGGGTGATGGAAACATTCTAGAACATGGACAGCAGCGCTGGGTGTGGTGGCTCACGCCTGTAATCCCAGCCATTTATCAAGACCCTGTCTCAAAAGAGGGCTGGGGATGTGGGTCAGTGGAGCACCCCTGGGGTCGAAAAAAAGAGATGACGATCTTACACGTCTGCCAAGACAGAACCCCAGGAACTGCGCACGGTAAACGGGTGGGTTGAAAGGCCAGAATCCTTGAAACCTGTTCGTCACAGAGGCGCTGTGACCCTGTGCCTCAGTTGGCCCAGAGTTAGGAGAAGCTACATGGCTGATGACATCATCTCCCTGCATTAGCCAGGAAGGTGACTAATGTCCCCAGGGCCATCGTGATCCTCTGTGTGTGAAGTGCCTGCTCAGGGCCAGGTACAGGCACAGCACTTGGTGTTTCCATTCCATGCTCAGAGGCTACCTGACCTCCCCAGCGTCCCCTACTGGTCACAGCAGGTGAGCTGGGGTGGTCCCTTCGTACCTGGCCTCCTGCTCCACCTGCTCCTCCAGCTGTGCGATCTTGGCCTCCAGTGAGGCAATGGTGGACTTGAACTTGGACTTGACTGCCCCCTCCATCTCCTGCAGCTTGCTGCGGAGCTCCTTGTTCTGCCGCTCCAGCTGCTGCCGCGCGCTCTCGTTCTTCTGGGCCGCGCTGCGCTCCGTGGCCAGCTCGTTGTTGAGCTGCTCGGCCTGGGGGGTGGGGGGGGAAAGGCTCAGGAGGGAGGGCGTATGTCAAGAAGCACCCCATGCCCCCTGGGCTGAGTGACAGCCCTGCCTTCCCTCTGTCCTCTGGCCCTGTTTGGAGCACCAGCCCACAGGGGAGCCCAGCAGGTGTTAAAGCAGATGCTAAGCCTGGGTTCTCCACAATGTCACCGAGCGCTCATGTCACAAGGACACCAGGGTCCTCGGCCAGGCTGCTCCCTCTAGTGGACAGGTGCTGGTCCACGAGGGAGACCCTACAGGCTGGTGCTGAGTGTCACGGGGACGGCAGGTGGGCGCTGGCAGGACCCGCTGGAGGCGGGACGATCCCTGGGTCCCTGTTCTCAGCTTGGCTCTCCCTGGGCAGCCACAGCAGCCCCCCGCAGCACCCCTGGGCCCTGCTGGGGTCTGAGCACGGGGGCCTCACGGTGTCCTCCCTGGCTTGATGCCAGCTCCTGCCTGGGGACTTGCGTCACCGACCTGCTGGGTGGCCTTGCGGACCCGGTCGCTCATGGCCTCCATGTTGCCCTGCTCCTCCTCCAGCTCCTCCTCCAGCTGGGCGATGCGCGCCTCCAGCCGCCGCTTCTCGTCCTGCAGGGTGTTCCTGAGGGGGACAGCCTCCGTGGGCCTGCGCCCCTCCCGGGCTGTCCTCATGCTGGAGGACGCGAGGCTCGGCCGAGTAGGAGCCTCGTCCAGGAACGAGGGGCCAGGCGGGCACAGGGACCTTGTTTCCTGGGCTTCACCCCACAAGGTTGAGAATGAAAGGACTGGGCCGCGGGAAAGCCGAGGGAGCCCTTCACCCGCGGGTCTGTCCCCTCGAAGCTCAGGTGAGCGCTGTCGTCCCCTCCTGAGGGCCAGTCCCTCCTCCCCGCCGGCCCCCTACCTGCCCGACACGCTGCTGGCCAGCTCCTCGGCCAGCTCCTCCTTCTCCAGGTCTGCCTGCTTGCGGGCCCTCTCGGCTGCTGCCAGATCCTGCAGGACAGCAGTCCCCTGAGCTCCCGTCCCCCAGCTCTCCCCAGTCTCCAGCCGTCCTGAGGTGCCACGTTCTCCCCCTGAGCTCAGGGAGGCCCCAGGCCGCAGGAGCGAGAGCGCCCCTTCCTGTGCTCTTGCTATGGGGGCCCATGCACGGGGAGGTGTTGGGCAAGGGAAAGAAGTCCCAGGGCACACAGGCCCGGGGTGGCCCTGCTGCCATCCAGGAGGACCCTACCTCCTGGAGCTGCATGAGGTCGGCCTCTAAGCTCTTGGCCTTCTTCTCATTCTCCTTGGCCGTGGCAAAGATCTCGTCTCTGGAGGTGCGGGCGTCTTCCAGCTCTCTCTGGAAGTCCTTCATCTGAGCCTGGGTGGGCAACAGAAGCACAGGCCCAGAGGTCCTTACTCACCTCTTCAAGCCAAGCCCTTGGACCTTGTGCAGCTGGCCACAGAGGGGTCCCTGGGGCATGGCCCTGCCCTCATCCCCAGGGCACGGCGTTGGGGATCTCCGCTGTCCTGAGAAGCCGAGCGCCTGGTGTGAGCCGAGCGGTGGCTGATACCGGACAAGAGCCCCCTCCCCCCCACCCCCTAGTGCCCTTCACTCTGCGTGTCACCCACCTGCAGTTTTCGAAGCTGCTTGATGGCTTCCTCCCGCCCCTTGATGGCCGAGTCGGCCTGCAGCTCCAGGTCCTTCAGGTCCCCTTCCAGCTTCTTCTTGGCGGCGGCCGCCAGGGCGCGCTGCTTCCGCTCGTCTTCCAGTTCCGTCTCGTATTCGTGAAGCTGAACGAGGAGGGAGCAACGCGGTGAGGCTGCCCCTGCAGGGTGCCACCTGCCCACTCGGGGACGCCCTGTGCTCCCCGTGCCGCAGCCCCTTCCCAGCACCACCACCGCACAGCGGTCTCCCCCAGGTTGCCCACGGGAAGACAGTGCCCGGAGGCCTGTCCAGGTGACGGCAGGGGCGCAACGGGCTGCCCGCCCCCCGTCCTGCCCTCCCGGCGGCGGGGCTCACCTGCCGCTGCAGCTGGCGCCGCTTCTCCTCGTTCTGCTCATCCCGGGCTTGGAGGTCCCGCTCGAGCTGGCCCTTGAGCGCCTGCATGTTGACCTCCAGCCGCAGCTTGGCGTCCTCTGCGGCCTGCAGCTCGTCCTCCAGCTCCTCCAGCTGCATCTTCATCTCCTCCATCTGGGTCTCCAGGGCGCGCTTGGACTTCTCCAGCTCATGGACCTGCCAGGCAACGGCGACCCCTCCACTGCAGTGAGGCTCGACCTCCGAAGAGCCCAGCGCCTCAGTCCAGAGAGTGTCCCTGGCCCCCCGCAGGACGCACGACCAGGGACCGAGGTGCCCCCTGAGAGCCCGGCCCCATCCCTGCACCACCCTGAGGACCGACTTCCAGTCCCGATGGTGGACCAACGTGGGCACAGGCGACAGCAACGAGCCACTTACATTCTTGCCTACGTCGTCCTTGGAGCTGACCAGGTCTTCCATCTCAGCTTTGAGCATTTTGTTGGTTCTCTCAAGCTCCTCTTTGGCCTCCAGAGCTTCCTCGAGGGCCCGGGCCAGAGACAAGGCCTTGGTTTCCTTCTCCCTGGCTTCTGCCTCGGCCCGGTCCCTCTCGTCAGCATATTTGGAAGAGATGTTCTTCTCCTCGGCTAACAACTGCAATACAAGAGAAGGCTCCTAGGCGCCCCTGTCCCCGCCATGGTGTAGCTGGGGTTCAGCCTCATTGAGCCACAGCTATGAGCCAGGAGCCAGGTGGCCCACTGAATGTACCCAGCTGCAGGGGTGAGTCATTCAGGTAGCAGTGGAAGTCGTTCATAATGGACTTTCTCACTTCTAGATCGGGCTGCCCACATGGGCTAGAACATCCAACTACTGAGGTCAGGGTGACACTGAGGCCAGTTAATCTGTTGTTTGGGCATTACCATCTCTAACACCCAAAGTCAGTGACCAGGACCTCCAAACAGCGCAGTCAACACAGTAACCCTGCACCATAGGTGATGGCAAAACAGAAAATGCAAGTTGAGCCCTCCAGGTTCCCTGGGACAGGGAAGAATCGGGATGTTGCCTAGAAGCCGAGCACCCCTCTGGCAGTTGGCCCCAGTGGTACGATCCCCAAATTTGTTTTTACGATAACTAACTCCAAGTCTATATTTAATAATTATGGGTAACATCGTAAAAGTTGGTGTTTAGAGGTTTGGGTCCCAGGTGGGTGCATTTATGAGAACTTTGTAAACTTCAGATCCATACGTTGCCTTATCGGTACACTGTACTTCAAAAGCAAAGTTACTTTTTAAAATGAACTCATATATAATCACTGTGCTGTTGAGGGAGGCGTATACAGATGTCTAATTTGCTTTGAGATATGCCCAAAAGGTGATGGACAGATATGATTCATCCTTCTGTGATAAAACGTGTAGTAAAACCTCAGGAGTTGAACGAGTGCGCGTGGGGTGACACGTGAGTGCTGCAGTGGCTGTACGGTGTTCCGTACAGGTGTTCGCTGTGCCAGTCTTTCCACTTGGTTGTGTGTGTGAAATTTCACATGATGCAGCTGGTGGGACAGGTGGTACCGGAGTATAAATGGGATCCTCTCTGGGTGCCCCACAAATACTCACTGAGTGAATAAAACAAATGGCCCTCATGCTACTGGTACCCAGGAAAGTCACAGTCATCGGGTAGCCTCATGTGTCATGGTCACCCCCCGGTGAGGTGAGAGAGCCTTCCATTGCTTCTAGCAAGTGGCGATGGGATGTAGGCCCCCAGCGCCCAGCCAGCGTCCCAGACCGAGTGTGGGGACCCCCGCCCCTACCTGGTCAAACTTCTTCTGCTTCTTTTCCAGGTTGGACACCAGCTGCCGCTGGTTGTCCAAGTCCACCACCAGGTCGTCCAGCTCCTGCTGAAGCCTGCTCCGGGTCTTCTCCAGTTTGTCGTGAGCGGCCGCCTTCTCCTCGTACTGCTGCGTGAGGCCCTCGAGCTCCTTCTGGAGCCGCCTCTTCCCCTCCTCCATGGCCTCCACGGTGCTGGCGAAGTCCTGGAGCTTCTTCTTGGAGTCGGAAAGCTGCAACGGCAGTGCCCGGCTGGGGTGAGAGGGCAGCGGCCCTGAGGAGTGGGCCGCGCCAGGCTCAGCCAGGGAGGAACCCGGGCGCCCACCTGGATGTTCAGGGTGGAGATGTGGCGCTCCAGGTTCTGCTTGGCCTCCGTCTCCTCGTCCAGCTGGTCTTGGAGGCTGTCCCTCTCGCCCTCCAGCTGGCGCAGCTTGGTGGACACGCTGAGCTTCTGCCGGGTCTCCTCCTGAAGCAGCTCCTACGGAAAGCACGCACGGAGGTCCAAGGACCCACCCAGGAGGGCCACACCCCTGTCCCCCTGGGCGATGCAGCCGGGCACTCACCTGGGTGTCCTGGAGCTGGGACCCCAGGGATGCCACGTCCTTGGCTAGCTTGATGGCCTTGCCCTCTGCCTCATTGAGCATGCTCGTGACACTCTCCACCTCATTCTGCGGGTGGCAGGAGACTGGTTAGTGGGGACCTCACAGGATGCGACCGACTCATGGCGTCCACTGACTGAGAGAAGATCTGCAGGGTCTGGGTGACTCTGTCCCTGTCCCTAGACTGAGGTTCTAGACTCTGTTGGAGCCCTAACCTCCTGACTGGGCCCTGGTCCCCAAGTGGATGCTGAATCCCTGCCCACGGGTCCGGGGCTGAGAGGTGCTCCCTAGAGCTGGGAAGGAGACTGCGGAGGACACGTGACCGTCCCCACCCTCTCCTCCTGTTAGCTCTTTTAGCTACAACCAAAGACACAGACCCTGAAGGTGAAGGGCCTGCCGTCCCTGAGCAGGTCCTCTGGAGGTGTCCGCCTGCCTCTTCCCGTTTACAGTGAGGCTATGACTGACCTTGACGCTGATCTTCCAGGACCTCGCTGTATTAGGATATCAAGAGCCCTGCTCTCCAATGCAGGTGGGGAAAGAAACCAGTGCTGCCCTGGCCCAGGCCTTAGTACATTAAATATCCATCTAGTTTCTCGCCAGTCCCATGAATGGAAATCCAGGCAATGTGTGTCTTCAAAGCTAATTAAAACCAAAGACAGGCCGAGCCATTTGTCAGCTTAGTGCCCTTCAATGGCTTCCCATCGCTTGGAATAACAACATCCATTGAATGGTCCCTGAAGGCCCTGTGTCATCCAGCCACAGCCTCCTCCTCTGTACTGTGCCTCTCCTCTGCTTCTCCATTTACCACAGGGCCTTTGTGCATGCCGTCCCTCTGCCTTGCAGACGTCTACGGGTCATTTCACAGCCCTCCTGAGGGAGGCCTTGCCCGGCCTTCTTGTCACTCACTCCATTGCGTGCCTCCCCTTCCGGCTCAATGTGTGATCGCTGGTGTCCTCCCACCCCCCCTGGCTGGAGCGTGTGGGCAGGGACAGTGTCTGGTGTCTTCCTGGATCTCGAGTCTCGGAATCAAGCACCGTGCTTGGCCCACCCGTCGGCTGAGCTGAGCAGGGAGCTGTCCCTCCCCGGGGGCAGTGTCACTGGAGGGACCGCAGTGGCTGGCCGGGCCTGCCCTTGCGGCGCCGCTCACCTGCAGCTTGTGGGCCTTGTCGTTGAGCTCGGCCCGCGCCCGCTCGCCGTCGCCGCACTTGGCCTGCAGCTCCTGCACCTGCCCCTCCAGCCTCTTCTTCCTGTGCTCCAGCTCCTGCTTGGCCTGGCCCAGCACCCGCAGCTCGCCCGCCAGCTCCACGTTCTCCTTCTCCAGCGCCTGCTTGCTCTTGTCCAGGCTGGCCTTGGCCTGCGGGGGCCGGGGGGTGAGCTGGCCGCCTCCTCCCCACTCCCCAGGAGGGTCCCGGACCGTGCCATCACGGAGCATGGGGCCAGGGGAGCGCAGAGTCACCAGGGGGGCTGGGGGACGCTGTGTCCTAAGCTGTAGAGGGGGTGGCACACGGGGGGTCCCACAGCCACCTCCAACCTGCGGTCACGTCCACTGCCCCATTCTGGACTTCCAAAAAGGAGGAGTCGCCAAGATGTAAATAAATTTTATATGAAAGTCTGGATTTCCAGCTCCTGTTGTGAAGACCTGAACCAGCCGGGCTCACGCAGCCCACCGCTTGGTCAAACGGCTGAGTCCAACTGCACGTGTCAGTAACCGACTTTCAGAAAGCAAACTAAAGGTCTGAAAACAGAGGGTCTCGCTTTCCTCCAAAAACCAGCCCTGACCCCAGGCTTATCAGGAGGGGGCCTCAGTGAAGGGGCTGCAGGTGATTGGGGTGTGGCCCTGAAGGGAACTATGGACTCTGACCCCCTCTTTGCTCTTTCGCTTCCTGACCTGTAGCTGAGGGTTTTGCCCCTGCCCTGGGTCCCCGTGGTGAGCTACCTCACCCCAGCAGACGACCAACAGACCCTGGACTTCAGCCTCCAACACACTGAGCCAAACAAACCTTTTCTCTTTGTAAGTTGGCCATCTTGGGTATTTGTTATAGTAATGGACAACTGACCCACCTCACAGGGTGGTTGTAAAGAGGAAAGGACAACGTGCGGGAGGCACTTCGTAAATGCGAGGCGCCGTGGCTATCATTAGAATCTCATCACATACAGATGGAGTGTCCCTTATCCAAAAGGCTTGGGCCCAGAAGTTTAGGATTTCAGATTTTTTTCAGATTATAGAATCTTTGCATTTGGATAAGAGGAGGGAAATCTCCCGGGGATGGGGCCCGAGTCCAAACACGAAATCCATTTGTTTCGTGGACACTTTATCCACGTAACCCAGAGGAAATTTTAGACAGTGTCCTCAGTGACCCTGTGTTTGATGTCACCCATCCCCTGAGCCCGGGCTTGGCATCTTCCACCTGTGGCCTCACGTTGATGCCCAGGACGTTTGGGTTTGGGGCGTTTCAGACTTGAAGGTTGTGGACGCAGGACACTCAGACCTGTCATGGTTTGAGGCTGCGACCCTGCGGGCCCGGGGGGCGCGGAGCTGGCGACGTACCCTCTTGTACTGCTCCAGCTGCTCCGTGAGCTCCTCCACGGCCTGCGTGTGCTTCTGCCTCATCTCCTGGACCTGGGCCTCGTGGGAGCGGGCCTCCTCGTCCAGGGCCTTCTTCAGCACCGTCACCTCCTGCTCCCGCTTGGCCCTTGGCGGGAAGAACACAGTAGATGGCAACTGGGAGAAGGCGGGCTTCCCTCCAGCAGGGGACGAGCTCTCCAGCACCCGGAGCGGGAGTCCCGTTGCCACCCTTCATTGCTGTGTGCCCTCGAGTGATTCGCCTAATGTCTCTGAACCTGGAATTTCCTCAGCTGCCAAATGTGGAGCACATTACCTGCCCAGAATCTCCCTCAAGGCTGAGAGACCAACGTGCCAAATAATAATATTGAAAGAATATCTGAGAACTACCACGTTTCCAAGAGTGTTAATGCCAGCTCTGACTTATTAAGCACTTAATGTATGCTCAGGGCCTGGCACATAGTAAGTGCTCAATAGAGAGGGTAGGGGCAGTGTGGGGGGCGGGGGGAACTGGGGAGTGAACCCAGGGTGCTCTACCACCGAGATCCACCCCAGCCCTTTTTACTTTTTTTCTTTTGAGACGGGGTCTTGCCAAGTTGCCCAGGCTGTCTTGAATTTGCGATCCTCTTGCCTCAGCCTCCCAGGTTGCTGGGATTACAGGTGTGCAACCCCCCACACCTGGCTCAGTTTTTAATACACATCATCTGGTCCTCAGAGCAGCCCTAAGAAGCAGGTATATTTTATGCATCTCACAGGTGAAGAAACTAAGGTTGAGAGAGTGAGCCGCTGGCCCATGGTGCCACAGCACGGTGTGACAGTCAGAATCTGAAGCTGGCCTGACCTTCAGCCTACATCTTCACCACTGCACTGGGCTTTTCCATACTGTTGCCTGGTGACGAGGCCACAGGACATCGTGCTGGCCTCTCAGGGCAGGTGAGCCGTGCAGCACAAAGCCCGGAGTGCGGGCAGTGAGCCTCAGGTGTTCAATGTTGGCAGAGCGCTGCCCACGGGTCGCCCAGGATGCCCGTGTGCGCGTGTTGAATGAATAAACGCCCCAGTCACGCCCAAGTGGCGCCCAGGTCAACCCTTGTGGAGCACTGTTAACCGTGATGGGACTCAGCATGCGTGTGTGTCCACTTTTCTGTAGTTTTTACATCGTCTCTAATTGAGTGTCATTCTTTGTTGGTGCGAAATAAGATCAGACCCCATCGAGCTTCCGTCAGTCACAGCAGAACGTGGCCAGGAAGGTCAAGGTCTAGGGGCTGAGGACTCCTGGGCGTCAGGACTGGCCTGTGCCCTTTGCTCCCCCTCCCCGGGGTCCTGGGGCCAAGAACGGGCTGGGTGGTGTGCTGTCACCTGAGCTCCTGCTGGGCGGCCGTGCTGTCCAGCGTGTCCTCCAGCTCCGTCTTCAGGGCCTCCAGCTCCTCCCCCAGGTCCCGCTTCTGCTTCTCGGCCTTGTTCCTGGCCGCTCGCTCCGAGTCGAGGTCCTCCTGGAGGTCGGAGATGTGGCCCTCCAGCTCCCGGATCTTCTTCAGGGCGTTGTTCTTCTGGGCGATTTCGTCATCCAGCCTGCAAGGGACAGCGGGGGTGGCGGTCAAGACCCCAGGGTCCCCAGGGTCCCTGCCGTATCCGCGCAGCCAGGAACTCTGTCCTGGGGAGGGGCAGAACGTGTCTCGGCTGGTCCCAGAACACAGGGCTCAGGGAGTCATGTGGGATGAGGAGCCAAGCTGTGCGCACACAAAGCAGGTCCGTCCATGGTGGACACTTATTTGTTCTCCGGGTGCTGGAGCAGGGAGTGCCAGCTCCGAACCGGGCCCTCGCCCCGAGCCCCCGCCTGCCTGGCCGAGGCTGTGAGCAAGGACCCAGGAGGGCGGAGGAGGGGACTCAGAGGCAGAGTGCAGGAGGGTGTCACAGAAGGACCTGGGGGAGGACCAGGATGAGGAGGGCTCTGGCCAGGGACAGGCGCCCACTTAGATGTGACTGCACTTGTCTCGGCACCAACGAGAGCAGAAGGGCCGGGTCTGGGGGACAGACTGGAGGGCGCGGGCTCCGGAGGCCAGGCGGGAGAACCTGCCTTTCCCCGTAAGCCAGCAAAGCCTCGGAGCACGTTCCTGCCCCAGGTGGTCGTCGGCGGCCCCCCCAGCAGGGGGGGGGGGGCGATCCTCACGGGGTGAGGCCTGTGCCCCTTCCTCCCTAGTGAAAGGAGAGCAGCGCGCCTGACGGGGACCGCTGGAAGAGAGCTCAGCTCAGCACATGCAGGGAAGCCATTGTCACCTGTCACCGCTGCCATACTTCCAGTGTGGAGCCAGGCAAAGGGGACAAAGGGGGGGGGACGGATGGGAGCACCTCTCTAAGGACAGGCAGAGTGGGGGGCAGCCGCTGCCTGCTGTGGGTGGGAGGAAGCAGGTGGGCAACAGCTGCGGAGGAGCCTGGCATTCACAAACAGAGGGACCTGGGGGACAGGAAGGTCACGCTAGCTTGAGACGTGCGGTGGGAATGGACTCAGTGGGCGATGGGATGCAGAACTGGGGTGTGGATGAGAAACGCCCGGGCATCCAGGAGGGCGCCCCGACAGCGGGGGAACAGGGAGGCTGCAAAGGAAGGCTGGGCGTGGAGGGGGAGAAGGCGGTCCCAGGCGAGCTGGGAGGCTGAGAGCCGAGGCCTGGCCCCCAAAACCTAGTCTGTGCTCAGGGCCTGGGGCACCTGGACCAAGGGGGCTGCTGCGGAGGGCAGGCAGGCAGCCCCCGGACACTGCACACATGGCCTCAGCCCCGCGCGGCTCGCTACCTGGCCAGGGCCGCCTGCAGCTCCTCCTCCTTCTTGGCCAGCTGCATCTTGAGCTCCGCGATCTGCGCCTGCAGGTCGGCGATCTGCTCGTGGCAGTCGCTGGCGTCGCCCTCCAGCTTCCGCTTCAGCTTCTCCAGCTCCTGACGGCTCTTCTCCTCCTTCTTCAGCCGCACTGCAGCCGCAGAGGGCGCTCAGGACGGGGCCCACCCGGGGGCACACGCAGCCCCCCTGACCTCGCGGCAGCACAGCGGGATCAGGCCCAGCTCCCGGGGACCTCCCTCCTGTCCCCCGGGGGAGCCCACGCCGGCGGCCCA